TGCTCTCCGTGCGCGGGCAGGAGCTGCAGGAGCGATTGCCCGTGATGGAGGAGGAAAATCAGAAATTGCTCGCTTGGATTAGCCAGGATCTTACAGCTCGTTCGGCTTCAGCCTCCTTGTGGGCTGTTCTTCCGACTATTTATACATCCAGCTAGTAACAGCTGGAAAGCACCCACGAGGAGCAGCTGCAGCCATCAGTGAGCAACTTCTGCACCTATCCCGTGACATTCCTATCTAGCTATCCAAGTGGATCTAGCTATCCGTCTATGCTTGTATATGTAGATGTATGTTAATATGTGTAATAAGCAACATGCAAATATGTAGACTTTCCACCCAAGGCCAGCTTGAGATCGTCGCTGAAAACGTGCCTTGCCTCGATTAGTCTTTCGACTGTTTTCGGTATGCAAGGCAGCCTCTTTGCGTTTTGATCTTTGATAACTCCGTCAGGAGAAGAAGCTGTCCAAGCAACTGGAGGCCTGCTGGTGCTAAGCTGCTGTATCGCGTGCAGAGTGTGTGCAGAGCAGGTCTCAACCAGTGAGAACGAGGAGCTCGCGAAAGAGCTTCAAAGCCTTTCAGCAAGCCTGAACAGCAGCGGATCTTAGCTCCGAAACACCCGTGTGCCAAGATTCGATGCAACTGTTAGTGGCTGTGGCTCAGGCAGAGAGAAGGACATCGAGAAGCTCTCTGAGGACCTCGAGGACTGGGCCCTCTTGCAGCTGCGAGCAGCTGCCACGATCTTCCTGTCCGTGCGACCCAGGTCAGCCACAAAGAGAAGAAGTTCATCCAGCAAGAGTCGAATCGCATCTGAATTGGCGCATGAAGCATGAAGGCATGAGGTCGCAGTTCATCGAACGAGCCTTCAGATCTGCACACTTTGCCATGCCACCGGAATAGTGCAGCAAGATGAGCATGTTTCAGGAAGTTGCAGACATGCTTCTGCTCGTCACCGGAATCTGGTTGCCAAGGGAAGAATTCAAGCAGCATGCTGAGAAGAAGCTTCGAGCAGCGGAGGACAAGACTGAGAAGGCAGGTCTGCCGGTGCTGGATCACTTCCACACCTGCAAGTATCATGAAGTCGTGTGCCCGTCTCATGGAAATTTCGGGCCGTAGGTCTTCGGTGGGGCTGGGGCAAGGCCATGCTGAGCAGGTGCCGAGCGTATAAGGGCCGTGGTCGCTTGTTTGTGATTCTCTATGTTGCGGCCCTATGCTTTTTATGCAGGAAGTTTCTGTCGACATATTGACGTCTTCTTTAAACAGATCACGGCTTGTCTACCGAAGTCTCAGGCCATTAAGGACGCCGAGACGACCAAGAAGAAAGCCGAGGCGGTATTCTTTAGCGGGTACGTAATGGGGTCAATGTGGTCAATGTGCAAAGAGTGACAGCAATGTTGATAGCGTGCATTGGAGAGGGACACGTGGTGCATGAAGATGCCCGGCTTTTATGTTCAGGCCGACAAGAAGGAGGCCATCGCGAAAGCGGACGCTGCTAGGCAAGCAGCCGAGGAGCAGGTGGGAAGTGACGCTGCGATACTGGTGTACGACTTTTCGCATGCCATAACCTGCTACAAACTCGGAAGTTGGAATGGCAGAGATGAGTACCACTAGCTGGCCGCCGTCTACTTTCAAGACTGAGTGTGGTACTCAACCTGAAACTTGATACCATAGGCCGGTTCCGCTTTCTTCGAGACTAGTGAGATTGTGAGCTACCTCGTATCCGCAAGCAAATGGACAGAACCAGACTGGTAAACAAAGAACAACGGCAGATACGTACGTAGATGTCTGTGGATATATAGCACGCATGGATGGTCGGATGGCTGCTGGATTGATGTAGGTATGTGTGTAGACACAAAGCACATGCCCCATGTACACATGCACATTCAGGCCACTGCATAGGTCGCAGATTAGCGAGTCCTGCACTGTGACCAGTCGTACTGTTGTCAAAGGCGGCCAGGGATGCATTCAAGGCCAAGCAGGCCGCAGAAGATGCAAAGGCGGGCTCGGGCTGTCGCGCGTGCTGCATTGTGGAGTGGGCACGACTCTATGTCCTCGATGAAAGGGTTGGTAGCAGGGCTTCCAAGCTTTGGAGGCAGAGCAAGTTCGCGCGCTGCAAGATGCCGCAGATGCGAAGAAGCTTGTATGTGTACAATCTCCAATCCGAGGGCAATGCAGAATGCCACTTGTGGCCTCTTGTGTGCTTCGCAAGAGCCACTGCTGTTCCAGCCAAGGAAAGCAGCCGAGAAGGCCAGGTTTGACGGGTGTGCTGATGGAGAAGGTAATTCGAGCTCCTTGTTTGTCCCAGTTGCTTCGAGGCCATAAGGGCTGCGCAGAAGAAGGTAAACGAGCAGACCGCCGCAGCCGAAGCAGCCAAACAGGCAAAGGAGAAGGCTGAGGTCTGCCTGCCAACCGCTTGTGGCTTCAGAGCTGGGCCCAGTGTACCTAGAATGGCCGATGCATCGACTCGTTCCTCTGTGATTTCTGACTGCCCGGTTTTGCCCACTGCCCGCCCCCATCTGTCTTCAGCGCTGATGCGTGCTCTTCAACAGGAAGAGCTAGCGAAGCTTGAAGAGAAGAAGAAGGAGCTC